CCCGGCCCCCCCCCCACCAGACAAGGGCAGCCCCCAGGCTGTGACCAACCAGCATTTCATCATGGTGGAGGTTCACCAACCCAACAGCGAGCCCGACGTCAACGAAGTGAGGCCCTTACCCCAGGCCAGAGGTGGGTGTCACGTTATCAACCGCAGGGTGAAAAGACCCTCTCTGGGGTGTTCCTTGAGAAAGAAACAGGAAAAGAGATGGATCTCAAGGGTAGGAACTGGGGTTGGAAGTTGGAAGAGTAAGACCTGCATCAGGCTGCAGGTCCCTGCCTGAGCACCAGATTTGGTGGCAGGACTTTCCTGTTCCCAGGGGGACTGGGGGATGGCAGTGCCAACCAGGGAGGGGCCACAGGGGCAAACGGTGTGATTTTGGTTCAAACTCCAGGTCCATGGGGTAGGGTGAAAGCCACAGAGCCTGGATCGGCGTGGCAATGTTCGGTAGTCATGTGGCCATGTGCCGGTTTGCTTTTTCCGCTTCCCCAAGATGAATTTCCAATTGCAGAAAACAGCTTGACAGCATCATGGCCAAAAAAAAAGTGAAAATCCAGGAAACGCATAAAAATTTCTGCAATGTGATCAGCAGTAGGGTGTTAATCTCCGAGACAAAGCCCTCAGCCCTGAATTTTGGCAACGCTGGAAAATGTGCGAGGCCCAGGGCCAGGCTCTTTGCAGCCTCCCTGGCTCCCCGGTGTGATTTGGGCTGACATTTGCTTAAAGACTGAGCTCTATTAGGCAGTTGGTTGTGACGTCTCTCTTGTGTGGGCTTTGCTGCGTTAGTTCATAAAATCTGTTTCCAGTGGAGTTTTAAAAGAAAAAAGGAAAAAAAGAAAAAGATGTAATTCTAGGATTTTCCTATTAACTTCAGGTTTTGGAAAAATAAAAATAAAAATTTGATTGCGATCACATAGAGCTTGGGGGTCAGATTTGAGAGAGTTGGGGTTGTTCAGCCTGGAGAAGAGAAGGCTCCAGAGAGACCTTCTAGCAGCCTTCCAGTACCTAAAGGGGCTACAAGAAAGCTGGAGAGGGGCTTTGGACAAGGGCATGTAGTGACAGGACAAGGGGCAATGGCTTTAAACTGAAAGAGGGCAGATTTCGATTAGATATAAGGAAGAAATTCTTCCCTCTGAGGGTGGTGAGGCACTGGAACAGGTTGCCCAGAGAAGCTGTGGCTGCTCCATCCCTGGAAGTGTTCCAGGCCAGGTTGGATGAGGCTTTGAGCAACCTGGTGTAGTGGAAGTTGTCCCTGCCCTTGGCAAGGGGGTTGGAACTAGATGGTCTTGAAGGTCCTTTCCAACCCAAACCATTCTATGATTCTATGATTTATCTTTAATATATCCCCAGGAAAAAGGAGCGGAAGTGAGGGAGATGCTGGGCTCCACAGGGCCCTCGGCAAATGGCTCTGGTCCAGCGGGACGGGTGGTCCTGGAGCCCTGAGGGTGCCCAGGGGGGTGGGCTCTGCTTTCGGCTGAGACCCTTTGGGCCTGGGGGGACCCACAGCATCCCCGAGCCCCTGTGAGCCCCCCGCGAGCTGCTCGTGCTCGCATCCCGGCTCCGTGGGACCCGCTGCGAGTGACATTGTCGCCCTCCTGTGGCACCGTCCTCCCGCTGCAGTTAGTTCATTAATCTCGGTAATGAACGAGGGGCCGGAGTCCTCCCCCTGCCCCTGGCTGGGGGCCGGATCCTGCCCGAGGGGTGGCAGCGGTGTGACCCCAACTCCGCCAAGTCCCCGAGCCCATGTCCCCGCCCTCCAGCCCTCTCCGCAGGTGCTGTCGCACCGTTATTCCTGACATTTCCAGAGGCAGAGTCCTGACCTGCGCTCCAGAGTCTTCGTCCTCGAAGGGGAGAAGGCTCCCACCTGGCAGCTCCTCTGTGCTCGGGTCTGTCCCCGTCTCCTTGCAGACCCTGGTGCCGAGCATGGGCTGGCTCAGCAGGATCCCTGAGCTCATCACCCTCTGCCTCCACCCCAGTAAGGGATCTGAGTTGGATCCTGGACCTTGGTTTGAGACCTCTCATTCCTTGGTGCTCCCTGTGCACAGCTTGGCTCCTCAGGAGGGACCTCTGCTTGGGAACCCCACTCAGAGCCATAGAATCACAGAATGGTTTGAGTTGGAAGGGAACTTCAAGATCATGTAGTTCCAACC